TTTACTGCTGCACTGATTTTCAGTTCGTTACTGATCTTCCTGTGACCTTTTCCATCTTGGTGAAGTCTCAAAAACAGATTTTGGAAACTCTTCTTATGTGGAGCCACAATGCAGACATTCAGACAGACACAGAACAGAAAAGATTCTGGTGTTCACAGGTCATTTTATAACCATGATCCTACAGTTAGGCTCAGTGGAATCACAATTTAATGCTCACTTTAGTTTCCTAACGTGTGGTCACAGCTGTGTTCACTCTGGTTGCGCTGAGCTTCTAGTTTTGGGCCTGAATTGTCGATATAGTCTTTCTAAAGTATCATTTTTTGATTGTTCATGAGAAGAAATACAATGTATTGTTAACAGTTATTGACAGGTGATGTCATTTTTGATTTATTTGACATTAAAATGATATTGCACAGGGGTGTACTCACTATTGTTGTGATTGATTGATTGATTGATTGATTGATTGATTGATTGATTGATTGATTGATTGATTGATTGATTGATTGATTGATTGGTAGGCAGATAGATGCTTTAATGCCCAGTTTTGCAGCTATTTGACTGCTCTGTGTGCAAGTCAACTCAGCCTGCTTAAACACACAGTCACTTTTATGATTTGGTCATGTTTGTTAAACAGCATCTTGTTCAAATAATGGGAACGTTTGTTATTGCAAGCAATTAAATCTAAGAGGATGCTTAGAGCTAATGTGAGCCATACCTCCCTTTATTCAGCTGAAAATGGAAATGCCCCTGTGGTTTGCAGCTCATTAACTGTCTTTCTCGGAAGCAATTACCTGCTGTGAGGATTAAATGCTAAATCCACATATTTCCAGGCATACACTTTGAGATTCTGTTCCCTCATTTCATGTTTTTGTTGGTATTCCAGGTGGTATAAGACAGTCTACAGCCACATTTACAGCACATAATGCAGCAGAGCTAATGTCTCAAGTCCTACCAATAACAATGAAGTTATGACCTCAACTGTGAGAAAATTCCCAAAATTGTTTGCACCATTTGACAGCATGCTTTGCCCTCCACAGAACACTATCTGCACCCCGATACCAATACTCTGTCAGGCTGCAGCTTATTTAAAAAAACAGCCAGATAACCAAGTAGTCCAGATAAGACATAACTTATAATAACACAATAGAGTGTGTCTGCTCTGTGAATAACAATGTTTGTGCCTCTCGTCCATCACTTTGTCTTGTTGTTTGTGTACAGCGATGTTTCTAAAATATCATCATTCATGTGTGAATTCATTGAACTTTGAAATGTCGCCATATATTCAAGCAAAACATACATTATACCTTGGGCCCTTAGTCTTTACCTTTTCTGCCACATTAATCTGCCCTGAGTCTCACTCCTGGCGAAGGTGTTATGTTATTACAGCTGCTTTTTCTTGCATAATCTCTGAAGCAGGAATGCCTGAAGGGTGTCACTGCCCATTGTCTTTTCAACGTGGCATTGTTTTTTTTGCATTCGAGGGGTGGTGATGTTTGCAGATTCCATGTATGTGTCGTGTGTGTTTAGGAAAATTGTGTATTTCTTTCTGAGAAACAACTGAAGTGATAAAACAGCATGGTCGGACTTTTTCTTCAGAAGAGGGGACTCCGGTTGCCTATTATGCTCTAACCTAATGTCCCTTGTGCCTGCTGCAGGAATGGTCTTTTGTCTGTATTTCAGTTTTCATTTCTCTATAAACACACCAACGATGTGTTATTTACCCCCATTAAACAAGTTTACAGTGTACAATTAGCAAAAGATTTTTTTTAAAAAATGCACTGTAAGAAGAAGTTTCAGTCTCTTTTCTTTTTTTTTTTTTTGCTAATTGTTTTTTATATTGCAAAACAAAAGGTGCATTTTTTCTATTTTAATGAACAAAGGCAGTAAACTCCTGATGCAAAAAACGTGCACTCACTAAACACATCTCTTGATTGAACTGTAATGCCCCCAAGATCTCAGAAATATCTTAAAATTTCCCTCCACATTTGTTCCAAACTCCAATGTGTCTTCCTTTGTTTGTTTTTCTTCAAAACTGTGTTGCTCCAATAGAAATTGCTAGAATTTGATGCTGCATATAATACTTTTTTTTTTTTTGTTTCCTCTGAATTGATTATGAGCCCATAGCTGGAGTGTTTTAGTACTGGTTGATTTTGAATCTTGAATATGAAACTCCATATTCACAACAACAGTTTACTCTCCTACTGTAGCGTTCAATGCTTTTTGGCACTCCAAATCAAACAAAATAACCTGGAAAATGACATTGTCTAGACAAATCTTTTGTTTATTGAAGTTATTATACAGCTAAGTGATGCTGATTTCGTGAAGCAGCATTTTCTCTTTAAATTCATCCTAAATTAAGACTATGACGTGTTGCTTTGTTCCTCTCCTCTCCTTCTCTCTTCTGAGTTTGCCTCCCGTCAGGATGAATTTCCTCTTTTTACTTTTGAGATTTGTGTGCCATGTGTTTCAAATTCAATCTTCTTTGACATTCAGAACATCTAATCCAACATCTGATCTTGAAGGTTTCCAAATGCTGGACGCTGTTCTGCAGGACAGAGAAAGTCCTGACTTTTAAAAAGAAGTTGTCATAACAAAATGACTTAGCCATGATCATGTTTCATCACTTACTGAAACACAGTCATTCAGCTTAAGGGTTAAAATACATGTTTAATGTTGTCATTATGTATTAGGTTCATTCTGCGGGTCTAACTCAGATGGACATAACCAAGATATGATAAATTGTTGATGCTATCTTCAGAGTGACCATGAAATGGTAATGAGTGAAAAAAAAAAGGGGGGGGATTATGTGTTGTGGGAGGTGAACAGCAGGATGGCATGTGTGCTGGTTTTGTGTCAGACTTGTGCTTAAACACACAGTAAACAATTCATTACGCTAATGGGTAAGAGGCCAGAAAAACAAGAGCAAAGGCAGTATCATTTATTTTAATGCTGTGTGTTCATTGTTGTTGTCCGAACAATGAACAAGTCTCATTCCAGTTAATGTGGTTTGTAAGCACAGAATGCTTTTGAGGTTAAAGCTATTTGTTTCCGTTAGCTGGAGTCAGCGTTTTGTCCTAACTAATGCATCTTTCTTGTCTTTCCTCCGTAAGGCGGCATCCCCTTTGTCCTGACCGGGGAGCTGTTTGAACAGTCCAACAGACCCGCTGCCTTCATGATTGCTGGCACCGTAAACTGGCTGTCCAACTTCACCGTGGGCCTCCTGTTTCCATTCATTCAAGTGAGTTATTTCACTAAATGCATCAGTGTGTTGATTGGGGTCAGGTTTTGGAGCTCATTCAGCTCAGATTTAGGAAGAGACACCTCAAAATAGACAAGTGACACTGATCTAAAAGCGTCACACACAGATTGTCAGTGAAACCAAACTAACCCTCAACTGTGTTTGTCACTTCCACCTTGGCAGCCCATTAGAGTTGTCGGCTCCTCATTAATCCCTGCAGTGGCCGACTGCCACACCATGTTGTCAAGAGCTTGTGTTGCGTACTTTGCCCCTGCACCTCTGCCTCCTCTCTGGACTTTCATTAATCAACACACTTATTTATGCATTTAATATCCCAATTAGATGCAACTGCTGAGCCCTGATAGCTTCCCTTGGAGTGTTCAGTGGCTCCTGCTAATTTAAAACGCATTCTTCAATGACAGTTTTAACTCAACGATGCATCCGAACATGCATTACATGTTTTGTTCCTTTTAGAGTATCAGCACTGCATTATACGAACAGGTTCTCACACATATTCTTCACTGAATCATACTTAGCATAAGGGTAAAAGAAACAGAACAATAAAATATTGTATTGCATGGAACTTTTCTGATTGTTGTAAGGTGTACTCACATTGAAGTAGAATACTTTAAAGTTGCCATATTGTTCCTTTTTTCTGCAAAATAATCAAAGTCTCACATGTTCCCTCAGATAGTTCATTTCACGATAACCCCTGGTTTTATGGCTTTTCCAAACACGATATTTTGCTTGAAAAACTGATGAGCTGCTGCTTTGTGAGCTGTCAGTTTGAGCTAGGCGACTGTAGATTACTTCGGTGTTATGTAGCACCTGGCTCAAATTCTTACGCGCTTGCAAAGCTCGGAGACTAACTAGATGTGGAAGAGTTTTAGCAATGGCAGACGTAAACATCTTTATATCTGTAGAGCTTTTATTTTTCTTAGTTTCTAACAACCGCAAACCAGAATAAAAATAGATTTTCACCGTATGGGACCTTTAAAGTCGGACCTAAACTATGTGAGGCCCAGAAATGAAAACTTCCTTCACTAAAAGCTGCTGTGATTATCGCCTCAGCTGACACAGCAGTGAAGCAAAGCAGCAAAGCCGCACATGGTGTTCCACCAGGAATTCACTTTTATTACTCTACTACGACTACAAGACACTTTTTATTTCCCTTGTTAGTGTGACAGCGTGTGAGATTTTCATTTCATAACCGTGTAACTCCCAATGGCAGCTGGCCTCATCAGCAAGGCTGCACATCCCCAGAACTTTGTTACACTTGCTTTTTATTTGACCTCTGACACTTTGTTTTATTCAAATCTGTTATCCGTCAATAACCCGTCAGTGTTTACTGCTATGCACCAACACATCAAGTCAATTTCCACATGTGTGAAAACCAGTGTTACAATTAAACTAATTCAGATTCTGAAGATGATGGCAGTAGAGGCTACAATAAAAGGGAACTTGACCCATTTCACACATTACATTACAAAGATAATGCTAAACTTTATTATGTAAAATGTAGGATGCAGTGTATTTGGAAGATATTTCTGCTATTGTTGCTTTGATTTTGCACGTATTTTTTAAACACTTGTCTTGGAGTTCTTTAACTTTTTGGATTACACCTTAAATCACAACCTTAATCTCCACTAATCAGGTTTCAGATGAGTTTTGTCGTCCTCTCTTTCATCATCATTCAATGCAGTTGTCACATCATGGCCTGATTTCCCTAATGTTAGCGTGGCCCCTTGTCCACAGATTGATTCGGTGTTAACTGTGAGCTCTGTTGGAATGCCTCTGCTCGTCCAGCAGTGCTGCGGCCGAACACATCCAGTGTGGACATTAACTGCTGCTGCTGCGCTGCTGACATGCTGCTTTCACTGCTGGCCATTTGTTAACAAGGTGTTACGGGTGAAATGTGAGACATGACAGGAGTGATGACTGTATAGCCACAGACGCAGATGCTATTTCAGAGCTGTATGGGAGGTGTATTTGTAGCTGTAGAACATGATGGTGACTGACTGAGCTTTCCAACGTCCCTGCACTGCAGCCAGGTCTTGTCTGCTGTTAAAGCACAGCCAGCCTTCCTCTTGAGAAGGTTTCTGAGCCTTGCACACTCAGTAGTGAGGCTGTGTAGTAATACTATGATTACAATGGGCGTTATAACCATTTAGAAGTTCATTTGAGAAGTTTTAGACCAGGCCAAGGCTGGTTATTACTGTGTAATTTAGAAATTGTTGGATCTTACTTAAGCTGCAGAAACAGGGAAACTTGATGTATTTCAAAATGATCCCAAGTGCCCAATGTTGTTCATTATGGCCTTATAGTTCTGCAGCTATTTTTGATTAAATTTAGGTTTTTACACAAGTTTTAAAAGAAACATCTTCAGGCTTCAGGGGTTACATGAGACCAGTGGAGCTGTTCAGATTTGAATATAGACTTAACATCTCACTGTCTTGATGTTTGCTTTTCAAGACAATCTGCTACAAGACAAGATTCTACTTTATTGTCATTTCACAGAGTACAACAAAATGCAGCTTTTTAGATATCCCAGCTCGTTAGGAAGCTGTGGTCAGAGCACAGGGTCAGCCACGCTGCCAGGAGCAAACAGGGTTAGCGGCCTTGTTCAAGGGTCCACAGTGGACTTTAACCCCTGACCTTCTGATTAATATCCCAAAGCCTTAAACGCTGAGCCACCACTACCCCAACCTTTTATAAGAAAATACACTGAGCAATGCAAAGTAGTGTACAAAGGCGAATAGGGGATGTGGGGCCAGACTCTTTAATGCACATTTCTGGCCTTAACTTGCTGACAAAAGAATAGTCACAGTCCCTTAATTACTGTTTATTATGAGTTATGATTATCTTTGCATTATTTCATATGGGACCCAAGAAGTCTCCTCTTTTGGGATGATGCATGTGCTTCTTAAGAGTGGAACAATAAGCAATTACAACAGTTGAATACAGAAGAGCCTATTAGTGACTGGTTCTGGAATGTTTTCCTGGAAACAACAGGGTCCTCTTAAAAATTGCATGTTGCTCCAGGCAGCTCCACATCACTGCCTCCTCTCATTTCACCTCCTCCATTTCTCTTCCTCTCTCTCCATATGTGTCCCTCTCTTTCATTGCTCTCATAGCCTGTTTTTTTTTTTTCCTTTCATCCACTTTCACTTTTTTGTTCTTGAGTGTTTTCTTTTCTTTTCTTTTCTTTCTTTCTTTTTTTTTTTCTTTTTTTAATTTTACAAACGCCTTACTGAAGCATCTTTCTACAAGAACATTGTGTTTGTCCATTTTAGAACTGTTTTTGGTGGTGTTTGGTTTATTGCTTTGTCCCTGTTTTGGTCACTTGATCGATTGGCTGTGCTTTGTTGAGTTTCACGTTGAGTTTGAAGTGTTAGTTTATGTTGCGCTGAAAAAAATCACCAAGTAACAAAATTACTGGAATAGTTATTGATGCAAAGTAGTATCGGCATGTCATCTCTATCAGCCGGTAAAATAATAAAACCAGATTTATTTCTGTAAAACTAATAAGTCATGATAAATTATTATTATTATTGTTATTATTATTATTATTATTATTATTATTATTATTATTGTTGTGGTTGTTGTTGTTATTATGTGTTAATTATTGTATTATCTGCAATTGAGTGGAAAAAACATGTGCATATATGGGTAACGCCATTAACAATCTCCTCAAATGACCTTGAAAATATGACTTAAATAGTAGTCTCAGACACATCGGATCATTGTGTGCCGGAAACTACACATATAACATTTTTACAACACAATAACCTGTGTATAATATCTGTTTGTAGCCACTAACTACAAATAAAAAAAAATAAATATGCAGGGTGGTAAACTACATACTTAACAGTGAGATAAATTTCACGATGTAGCAGAGGAAGCAGAGAAGGTCCAAAGAAGCAGTAATATACACGACATGTCATCCCCTGATGTGCGCCAGTCCGGCTGGACTGCAATAAATATTTAAGATAAAATAAAATAAATACATAAAAATGAATAAAAAGAATTACATTTTCGTCCTATTCTAAGGTGTCAGGCATTGAGAAATATTCATCAGGGAATTAAATAATTCAGTGCCGGTCTACTTAGCATTGACTGGGATAACAAGCGAAAACACAAACTTGTGTCACAACAGATGCAGCAGAGGACTGTGATGGAAGTACATTTGTATATTATTGTTAAAGTAGTACTGCAGTTGTTGCCATATTCCATATTGTGTGGTTCTGAAACTGATAGTGAGATGTTGTGCACAGTTTTTCCATTTGCTCTACACATATAACACTTTCTAGTTTATTCATTACAGCCCTGTAATCTTATGATTTCACAGCACAGTATAACAAAACATTTAGAGTCTGCCAAACTCTGCTTCGTGGAAATGTTCTATTTCCAAGCTCATTCAGTGTTTGTAAAGATAGAGACGGCAGCTGTGCTGCTTCACTCTGAAGAAAACTGTCCAGACAGACGACCCAAAAGAGATTAGATACCCTCAGTAATCTGCTCTGAGTCTGAAGAGTCAAATGTCCTGGACTGACATCCCCTTTAACGAGGCCTGTGATGTAGCAGTGCCCTGTGTAGAATAGGATCTGTGACCCATGTGGACATTTACTCTTTTACAGCTATAAGCCGAACCAGCATCCTCCACAAACCGGCGGGTGAGTCAACGATAGGAAATAAGCTCAGCCTTATTAATACTGGACCATGAACACTGAGAATACAGCAACAACACTCAGAATTCAATTCATACAGAGCAACATTTTAGAAGCAGCATGTACAGTCGTGACTTGATAATCCGATCTTTAACAATCTGAAAACCTTGCTGTCAGACAGGGGTTGAGGAAAAACAAAGTGAATCCAACAGCCTTAACATACCGACAGCCTTGGATTCTGACTCTGACATGACATTTTATGTCACGACGTAGGACAATGACGTATTATGTGACTGAACAATCCGACAGATAGACTACGTGCAGACTGCAGGA